CGATTTCTCGATTAAGGGGGGAATTACACGCAGAAGGCCGTTTTCAAGGCTATTTTTACGAATTTTCTTTTACAGAAACGGTAAGATCAATGGACTTGGAATTTTCACTTGGTGTATTCATCGATGTTCAAAGTATAAAATAAATTTTATTGAATCACAAGAACCGATTCAATTCGTAATTATAGATAAAGATGCAGTTATCCGTTTGCGAGCCCTATGTTTGCTGTCGACATAATTTTGAGCCCTTCAACACTACTCTGAAACGAAAAAATGAGAAAGATTTTTAAAATATACGGTTGCCATTATAGCTCATACTAAAATGAAGGCAGTGAAGCCAAGTTTGGAAAAATAATAACTACAAAAAAAATTTCGAAAATGAAACTTTTTCAACTTGTAATTATGTTTAAAAAAATGAATAAAATAAAATATAACTGTGTTCGAGGTAGGAGCGAAAACTACATGTCTAATATATATTATATAAAAATTTCAAGTCATTCGGTTCAGCAGTTTTTGCGTAATCGACAGTTTAAGATAATGGTGTTTCCAGATAAACGCGTTTAAAGTTTAGAGTGTACTTTCCATATAGATAGTAACAAATTTACTTTATACTTTGAACATTGATGAATACACTGTGAAAATTTCAAGTCCATTGATCCTATCGTTTCAGTTAAAAAGATTCTGTTAAAAATGGTCTTGAAAACGGCCTGCTCCGCATGTTATTCTCCTCTTCACTTGGTGATTCAGAGATCTCGCCAGGACAATGAGGCCCGAAGAGAGAAAAGGGAGAGACGCCGCGGTGATCAAGCACTCGGCAGGAGCTAAACTTGTCGTTCTTTACGGAGTAAAAGTAAGAAAATACGTCGTCGCGTTGTCGTTGTTGTTGTTATTGTTGTTGTTATTGTTTACGAGCGTGTCATCGAACATGCATCTTCTATCCGATGCGATCATCAAGATATCGATCTCCGATCCAATCTGCCGCGCTTCGCTGATCGAAGATGCAAAACAATCGAGAGCTACGTATAAGTCCCCCAGCGACTCGAGGGGAGATAATGATTTCACACGTACACAGCTTCGAAAGCGTGTGGCAGAAGTGCTCTTCTAATCACCTTCATGAGTGGTGTAATCTCTCGATATTTTCCCCTTTCGCGATGTTTTTGTTAAAAGTTAAATCGACCTGAGATTAAGATATCTCAAAGGTGCGGAGCGCAACGTGCATGTCCCACGTCGGTTGCTGCACGGAAAGAATTCCATGATAAAATTAATCAAATTATACCGTCGAATTTGGTCATCGACGAATATTTCGCTGCTCCACCTTCGTTTGCTTTTCTTGCGTTTCCCGTCAGAGAATTTGCATGAAAAGAGCGATATATAATATTCTCTTCGTGTCGAAGAGAAGAATCGTTGTGTTAGTAAGTAGGACGGGAAAGCTCACACACATATGCCGGATAAAAAAGTTCATCGACTGTCTGTCGGCCGCAGGAAGAAGCGATCGATTCAATTTCGCTTCAGGCATCGCGTCAGTTTAAAGGGCCATCGATCGGCGCGACGTTTCGATGGGCAACCGTCTATAATTGCGTCCATGCTAGGTTACTCAGGCCGGTGCACTTGTTCGCGTTCGGTGCATCGATCAAATTGCCCATTCGCGACAATCACGATTTTATTTGTCGCGAAAACGGTTGTAATTCAATAACGACGATCGACGACTGCGCGATCAATCGCGCGTCCGTCGCGTGGACGTCGAAAATATCAATGGATCGATTTGTCGCGGATCGAGATTGATGTAATGACGACGCACCCCGCTCGTGCATCCACCGTGTCACGCCACAACAGAGACGCAATTACGCAAGATTACGTAAATGTTGATAATGACGAGTATTATTTAACACGTCCCGCGCCGGAACGATTTCAAGTGGCACGGTGGTCGCGTGGGTCACCGGCGGCGACTGACCCAGTCGTGTTATATTATTGCTCAAACAACACGTACGTCTCTAAAAATATCCAGAATCGCGAGATATTTTAATTCGAATTATTCTCACTTTGGGAGCGAGATCCGTTGATCGATTTCTTGCTTTGAAAAAGAGACAAACTGCGTCGCATCATCGTCAAATTTTTAGTCGGGCTGACCGAGAATGGAAGATGATGGAATTGATTGAAAAACAAGCTTCTGGTATCGTTTGCGAATAATAAATGACTCACTTTTCGAACAATTTCAACTGATTTTGCCTCAACTCTAAACTAATTTCAGGTTTGAGCGCACCGACAAGACTGAAAATTGCAAGTAGAAATTGAATAAAAAATACGTGTGAGGTTTTCTCTTTTTTATTTCGTTTTAAGCGCGGGATATCGGACGGGAGGTTGATACGAGTACATCATCGTTGATTCACGATCTGCGTGACACAAAAGTGTTGATAACAATCATTGTCACTTAGAATTGTCACAATAGGAAAACAAATAAGGGAGCTGTTAATTACACCTCCCTCACCTGACATCTCGATGCGATATCGCGGGATATTTTCGAGGAACATTCTCATTACTACGGGGAAACTCGAGCAGAGTTCTCGAGAGCACGACGACGACGCTTCGTTATCTCGAAAGTTGAGCTCGCTATCATGTTTTGCGATATAAATTCTGCTTCGTCCGAAATTAATAGAAAAAAAAGCAACCGTTAACATCCGAGAAATTTGAGATTGTATATCGCTGCCTTTGAGGCAGCACAATTTGAAATCTCATATGTTCTTTTAATTATTCGAATTATTCGCACCTTGGAGGCGAAGTCCGCTGATCGATTTCTTGCTTTGAGAGAGACAAACTGTCGCGTCATCGTCGAATTTTTAGTTGGGCTGATTGAAAGTGGAAGATTCTTAGAATTGATTGGAAAGCAAACTTTTGGCTTTCTGGGCTTGAATTTGAGGTTTGAGTACGCTGGCAAGACTGAAAGTTGCAAGTAGAAACTGAATAAAATTGCAACGGCGTTCTATCTCGCGAATTCCCGATGCGTGAAAGTCGACTAAAAATAGGTCCGCGTTAGGATCAAAGGAAGAAAGCACGATCGAAGCTAGCACGCTGTTTATTTTGGCACATCATTTACATGCAAATTGCCAAAGACAGCGGAATTTTCTCGAAGCTACAAAGTCGTGGGTGATGAGTCGACGGATATCTGCGACATCACCGGATGATGTTCCTCTCTCGAGCGTCACGTTCATGCGACACCGTATGCACGATGATAACGTTGCATCATGCTCGCTCATTACGCCACCGCGATTGTCAATCACGCATGAATACAGATCGAACGTTTGAGAAATCCACACGGAGAGAGAATATTATAGCGTTTTTTCATAGATATTCTTTCGCCAATTTGTTCAGGAGTGCTGAAATATCACTGTCTCAAGTTAGAATAGTCTTTCTCTTGCTGAGAACATGCTAAATTTTAAAAATTCCCTACGGTGATGACAACTTTTGCTGAAGAACACTGTAAAAATTTCAAGATATGGATTTTGAGGAAACCGTAAATTTCATGGCAAATAATAACGTCCGAGGAATATCGTTAACTTTTGCGTCCGATAGAGATGTGCGAACTATTCGAATTCGAATAATACGAATAGAAATCAAATAGATTATCGTTTGCGTGCATCAGCTACAAAACGGGCCATCTGGGCCTGTATGTTTGAACCCTTAACTTGCAATTAACTTAACTTATAATTAATAACTTAATTATAAATTACTTTAAATATTTAAATATATATTTTACTTTAAGATGATATTACAATATCAATATGCCCTTTCATATTAAAATCTTCCATTGTTATTTGCATGTTTAATAGTCATGTTAAATTTTTTAATGATTCGATTCGATTTCATTCGAATTCGAGTGAAATTTCATAGATTCGATTCGATTTGAATTCGAATTTAAAAAATGAGATTCGATTCGATTCGACATAAAAATTCTTCATTCGCACATCTCTAGCGTCCGATACCAGTTCCTAAAATATAAAAATAGCAGGTACAAAACGGAAATCAAGGAATGCTCAGTCGAGGCAAAATATCGAATATATTTTTCGGGTTTAAAAGTTCCAAGGCATTTTCATTATAAAATTTCCCACGTCCATGGATTTTTTCCTCATCGCAACGTAATACCGAGATGTTCTTTCTTGCTCGGTAATCTTGGCATATTTTAACTACGACGCGTTTATCTCTGACCGTCGAGCAAAGATCAGTCTATATACCTATTAAGCTAAGCATGTAAAGCACTCTCAATGCCAGTCCTGCGATGATTAAAACATCACTGACTTTGTGAAGGAATGTGGAATCTTTCGAGCGACCTTCTCAACCGTACAGACAGAAATCCGAGAGTTTCTGGACAATATAATAAATTGCGATTATTTGCATGTGGATATTGATCAACGTATCCGGTTTTATCTTAGCAATCACGCGCAGAGAAGAATATTATAGCTTTTCTTCTCACACGAATTCTTTTCAATTTTCACAATTTTACCGTATTTTCCATTAATACCAAAATAAACTCGGTTAATGTATTAGTTTTTCTTGCTAAGGGACATGGTAAATTTTTGCATATTAGACTTTTGTCCGTAAAATATAGATAGCACGTATTAAACGAGAGAATACTAAAAGATAAAACGTTGCTTCTTAGAAATTTTGCAATAATTTTTAGTATAAGTTTCTTCCTGTCTACAATTCTCTAAAATAATCTAATAAAGACGTACATGTGCGTACGTCTAAGCGAAGCTGATAAAAGTTTATCAGTCGTAAATCGAAGTTAATGCTTGTAAAATACGACTATGTTAATATTCTCATATATTACAATGGGATATGAGTATAAAAATCAACAATGAAATATGAGTATAATTTTTCACACACACATATACATGCGCATATGCACGCCTTGATGCAGAGACGAAAAACTCATCCGTGCGACACAAATTGTGCGTTACGTAAGCGTTGCGTGCTCGAAAAAACTAACAGTGGGACTTCTCTCGTTACAGAACAAGCCTGCGAAGGATTGCCCGGCACGACGAGGCAGAGTTCAGCAACGCCAGCATCCTGAACAGCATGGAGAAGTTCGTGCGCACGGTGAACGAGATGGAGGACACCATTTTAGTACCGAGTCGCCTGCTGGATCTGTCAGTGGGCGACGGGGGAGACACGATGTGCATGAAGGGCAAGCGCGGCCACACGGTCAAGGACACCCTGGCCAATACGGATCTTTATCGCCTGTACAACATCATCAACCAGATGAAAACCGAGCTGCTGTGGTCGCAGGAGCCCGCTCGAGACGCCGACATGGACGCTGATCAGAGCATTATTAAGAGCAGCAGCAGCAGCAGCAGCAGCAGCAGCAGCAGCAGCAGCAGCAGCAGCAGCAGCAGCACCTGCAGTAGCGGCAGCCACCCTGTTGGTAGCCCGAGCGAGCTGACAGCGCAACAACATCCGGGCACCATTGGCAGACTCGGCCACGCACGTTGCCCCAGTACAACATCGATGCAGAGCGTCCAGAGCGCCTCCTCGATCGTCTCCACGTCGGACTCGGACTCTGAGGTCGGCATCGAGATCGACTCCGGCTTGGAGGGTGAAGAGTGCGCCGCGGACCTCGCGAGCATTGCTGCCGAGAACTTCAGACGTCACCTGCGCGGCCTTCACCGCAGCATCGCCCGCATGACCGAGGCTGCCGAGTACCTGACACTCCGGTATCAGGCTGATGTGGGTGGACAGGTCTGATTCGCCGCCGCCGCCACCGCCACTATCACCACCATTATCACCACTACCACTATCACCGTCACCACCACCATCGCTGCCATCACCTCCACGAGCTCCGTCATCATCGCCGCCGCCGCTGCTACTATCGCCGTCGTCGTCGCTTCAATTAGTATCCTCGCGAGTGACTTCCGCGTGAGCAACGTCCTCGCCTCGCCGCCGATCTCATCGACACTTAACGCGATCACCTGTGATAGCCTACACTCGTCTGTCGTTGTAGGTTCTTCCTTTTTCTCTTTCTGTCGTCGACGACGAGCGTTCATTCCTCGGTGTTCGCAGAGCTCGTACAGATTCTTGACTCCAGCATGCTGCGCTCCGGCGTGCAAAATCACGTTGAGCCATGTGCTCACTTTGAGATGTAGATGTGTATTCTCGAGACAATAAATCGTCGCGCGGGTTATGAGTCGTGGGTTGATCTTCGTTATCAGTTTGTGCGGAACTAAGACCGCGTGAAAGAGAAAGAAAGAAAAAGATAAAGTATCTCGACGTTTTTGTTGCACGACGTGTGAGGAGAGTTAATGTTCTGTTCTATCGCCCTCTCTTTCTCTCTCGACGAGCGAGCGAGGACTAACTGAATGAAACGTGGAATTACGAGCAAGCACGATCACACTTTTACTCGCGTCATATCTTACATTTTGCATTTGCTCATGTAATTTTCTTTCGCGATTGTCTCACTCTCCGTGTCACATGTTTTTTTCCTTTCTTTCAAAATTTATCCATTTCGATATTTGCCGGTAAAACTAGGGGAAACGTTTTGCTTTTTTCTTTCTTTTTTGGAAATGTAAATTTTCCATCGGATCTATATGGAGAATTTCTCTTCGATACTGAGGTGTTTGATCATTCGAAATTTAACTCATATGTATATGTATTTTACATATACTTAGGTATGCGTTGCATCAGGAGATAATTGTTTTGTTTATTTGCTTGAGTTCGCGTTAACAGGTGTGTATATCATGGTTCTCTTGATTGGTTTGGAAACAAACTTTTGTTTGTTACATACATACATGTACATAAACTTGCTGCCCTTCGCTGAATAAACTTAGAGGAGATACATTTCGACACCAGGATTATGTGTGTATATGTAAAGTAAAAAGAGGAAAAGGCAGATATTCGCAGATATGTTTGGTCATTTGTAAGAGCCGTTTGTAAATTGTGTGTGCGTGCGTGCGTGTGCGTGCGTGCGTGTGTGCGCGTGTGCATGCGCGCGCGCGCGCGCGCGCGCGTGTGTGTGTGTGTGTGTGTGTGTGTGTAGGAAGGATAGAAGAAGAGAAGAGAAATATATGAGTCTGGGCAAGTTGAGAAATGGTTTGTGTAAATACTATTGCTCGATGTTGTTTTACGATAAGAAACATTTACCTGTAAAATGTAAGTTCGCGACGAGCAATATCACATTGTCGAGTAACGATAATAATTCTATATATATATATTACTGTAAATACCGTTACATCGAGAGAAAGAAAGAGTGTGCATCATAAGTGTCCCGACTGAGTAAGATTATACAAAACTGTGCGCTACAATTTACTCGCGATTACCCACGAGTGAGAGGCTATCATCATTGTCGATCATCATTGACGGTCGTAGAATCAAATCTGCGTTCCTCTCGCGAAACGAAGTGAGATGCGGCGAGGTGAGGCGAACGTCTGAAGTTGTTCACGAGTTGAAGACGAATTGTTCCCAACAACATGTCGACGGCGATCGATACATTAGCGTGTAAATATTAATGTACGCGTAACGCTACGATTATTTATTCCCACGGCTGTAGAGTCGGTGAAATGTTAAGCGCTTTAATTCAAGCTGCGTGTGAATTCTCGCGTCGAATGTAAGGTCACGGCGGAAGAAAGGTCGTGACGTTTTCATCTCGATGAACAAGACTTGAGAACGACGTTATCCGCTGATCCAATGAGAAAGTATATTTTCTGAAAATTATTACATGAAAAAGTGGGAGCTAGTTCGTGCAATTTAGTTTTCCATTAATTGGAGATCAGACTCAATGGAGAAAACTCAATTATAGGAAAAATTACCATCGGGAGTTTCTAATCAATCAATTGCTTTCGGCGAAATTCCTTTTTTTTTTAACGCAGCGGAATGTTCAGCTACATATTTAGTCGTGTTAAAGATGCTACTTCTCGTCACCGAGTTTTCGTTTGCTCCTCATTCAGTTATGCAGACTGAGATGTTTGATCGCGAAGAGCGAATTCCCGTCGGAGAATATACTAGATGCATCGCGAAACTCATTGAGATAATGATGCCGCAACCTTTCGTTCACTAACTGTACATGACTTACACGTTCGCAAGTTCCATTTCCCGGACTGAGAGAGTTCTCGCGGAGGAATTCTTTCGGTCCGAAGAAACGCGCTTGCGCGCGCGCGCGTGTGTGTGTGTGTGTGTGTATGTGTGTGTGTGTGTGAGTGTGAGTGAGTGTGAGTGTGAGTGACCCGTTAAAAATTTAAGGCTTTCATTTAAGGTGTACATATAGCCGGTGAGATGCTTTCCCGACGCGCCGTCCGACGACCGTTGGACGCCTCCTCGTACGCGGATCCGGCATGTCGGACCTGTATAGTGTACACAGTTAAGGATTTCTTAAAGCAAATGGAAATTCTAGAATTGGTGAAGGAAGGTGAAGGAAGAAAAAAAAAGAAAAAAGATACAAACGGCAACATGGGCGGAGGAATATAGTTATCGTTATTATATTTATCACAGCGAGCAAAATTATTTATTGCTTTATCGAGTAGCAGACGGGATGATGATTTTTAATAAATGGCATCGTTGCTAATGGTACACGCTTCTTCTCCTATGTACTTGTTTTACGCGCGATGTACTGAGATATCCGACTGCGTTTCTGTCACACGTTTGTCACGGTAGCCTGATGGGAGACTAATTTGGTAACGTTTGGGCATCATTAATTTACCTTTACATACGTAAAACTTTACTTATACTTGCGTAAAATCGATCTGATAATTCCCGATGTTTCTGTTGATATCACATGTGTAGTCACATCAATAATTACAACATTGCAACATTAACAATTGCCAAGTCGTTCGTACGCTGCTTGTACGCGTAAACATAAATCAGGATGTTACACTAAATCGCTTTGAAATCACCGTGTAAACGCAATCGTTATTTTCACGCTCGTTTTTCTTCGTTATCAAAAACGAAACGAGACGCATTTTCGTTTCTTCTCACCCATTTCCGTTGTATCATACTTGTACAGAACGAAGAAATGCCTTAGAATATAAATCGGATAGTCGTAGCGTGTACGGTGCCATATAGTTGTCGAGAAGTACATTCTGTTACATCCATGGGTACCACAAAAATTGCATAAAAGTCTTGGATGCACACGAGACGAGTCGGACAAGTCTACGTTGTTTTTGGACTGCTTTACTTCTCATGCGTCGTTTCTTATTGTGGCGGCAAGGGGTCGACTGCAACGTCTGAATTCTACTTCGTGACCGTGCAATTGAATTGTCGTCCGAGCGATTGATCCGTTAAGAATAATTTCACGTTCATTCCGTCGCGAGAGAGTCCTGTGTGCAGTTTCACGATTCTCACAAGATACGTCATCCGGAGATCGGGAACTCTCGATTGGCGTTAGAATATATCTTCGTAAGCTAAATTGAACATGACGATCGCGTTCAGTGAAACGTAGCGTTCGCCAAGCGATTAGCGACTTCTAGATTTGTAATTAATCTGCATTTTTCAACTTAGCTGAAATATAAAGGTGTAATCATGAATCATGAGTCGCTTAGTAAATGTTTTTGTTCCTGCAACGAACAACACCTCGGCTCGATATAATGAGAAAAGGAAAGAAAAGAATGCGGAGGTAACGATTGATCCTACAAGAAAAATCGGATTTTCCGATCTCGCGCTTATTGCGATTATTATTACGATTATTAAATCGTAACTCGTGCCATGCGACGTTAACTGTTAGCGTGTAGAAATGCCGTGCTGCGGTAACGATCCGTCCTTCGCGCGCGCAATTGCGGTCGTTATCGAAAAACCGATTACGTTAATTGAAATCATGATAGAGCCCGGCACTTGGACGTAATTATGCGAGAAATAAGGCGAAGCGTAGATCGACGTACACACTGAATCGACTTTCTCTATTTACGGGAAGGAAATTCGCCTTTGGGAATTCATGATATTTGGAGAAATGAAATCGAATATTTTTATTCACCCACGGAAAGAAAGAGAGGAAGAGAGGGGAGAGAGCGAGAGGAAGAGAGAAAGAGAGCATTTTATAATGAATAATGTAGAATTTTATAAGTGAAACATAGGATATCATACGATATCTTGATTTATCGTCCTTGCATTTATGCTTGTTACCTTGAGAACTGACGTCTACTATTATCTACCATGTTTCAGAAAGGAATTTGACTATAATTTTCGTAAATTTTCGTAAAGTTTCATACATTTCCATAAACACTGTGTTGCCTGACAAAAGAAACTCTATTATAACAGTCTATTCCTACATAAGAACATATCATAAAATTGGGAAGAATTATATAAACAAAAGTTCTACGTAACATTCCCTTCGTATGCAACTTCAATTTTAACATGTTATTTCTGTCTCTCTCAAGATTCGTAATTATTTCTTGCATAACTAAATCCATCCATGAGTGACGTGATTACTATCCCTGTACAAGAAAGTAGCTGCTGCTTATGCTATTCGAAGCCTCGTGAACGATATTAATCCGTTACGCAGGATCGTTTAAATCGTCGACGGCCAGTCGACGAGGTACAAATTTGTTGATTAGTATTTCGCAATTACTTGTCCTTACGTATTAAGCGGTGCGTGTGCGTCTGATCACGTGATACGTGCTTTATTACAATAATCTGCGATTTCACGTGCAATGTGCATATTTCGCATTTGAATTAGCATCCGCGGGACCGAGTATACGTGCACTTGTATAATACTATAACTGTAATAAATTAATTACCTCCACAATCATTGCGTTCATTTATTCTATTTCGTTAATCCGTTTTTAT